GCTGGCTGGCTCCAGCTGCTCAGAAAGGCAAGAGTGGGAAGAAGAGGGAGGAGGGGAGAGATGCCAGAATAAGGAGGGGACAGAGGCCGGGACTGGATCCCAGGTCTGCAAGATCTTTAGAGCAAGCTAGGTTGAGCAGCGGTTTTCCCACAGGAGGATCATGGCTCAGCCTGTGGCTATCCTATTGGTTTCCATCTGCCTGATTCACAGTCTCTTCAGTCAGATAGACGAAGGTGAGGAGGCTTGGAGTGAATGTGGTTGGGGGTGGGTTTTGGATGAAGCAGCTGCACCCATCAGTACCGTATGTAACAAATTCTGAAATGTCCTGGAGTGAGGATGCCACCCTTATTTTGTGTGAAATGAAAGGGCAAGTTTTCTGTCACCCAGTTAGTTTTTTTTAAGTGTAGAAAATCTGCCTAAGAGGCTCAAAACTAGCAAGATTAAACTAACAAGGGAAAGCCAGAAGCCACGTCACGGAACAAGTTTTCTCTTCATTTTGATACGTTTTCAATGCCTAAAGAGGAGAAAAGTGAGACTTAACTTTTGTATTTTATTTATCAAAGTTGCGTTGTCTTGGGTGACTCTGAAATGGCTATTTATGGAGGGACTTCATTCTGGTTCGTGTCTTGGTGTTGTGAGGATGATGTACAGTGATGAGTACTGCTTTTTATGGAGTGGCTGAAAGGACATACCCATTTAAGTACTCCTTGATGTGTTTTAAAACAACGAAAATCCGGAATGGGTTAGTGTTTTAAAATGAGAGAGAAAAAGAAAAGAGGAAGAAGAGATTCTTCTTGTATGGTCACTTTTGTATCACCTGGAATTCCTATTTTATGATCATTGAAGGATAACACTTTTTTTTTTTAAACTTATCTGTATGTCTTTATTTTAAAAATTTAAAAATATTTATTTATTTGTGTATGTGCGTGCACTCTTGCATGCCATGTGTAAGTTGAAGGATAACTTGCAGGAGTCTGTTTCTAACCCTGCTCCACCCTATGGATTCCAGGGATCAAACGCAGGTCATCAGGCTTTTGTGGCAAGTACTTTTATCCCCTGATCCGTCTTGCTGGCCCAGGTCTTTCTTTTACCATGCACACACATAGTACACATACAGGAAATAGAAAAGATGCTCCTAAGACCTCTCCACGCTCAGTGTCAGGCCTCTGGAGGTACTGACATCTTATCACTCTATATATGACTGCTATCGTTGCTCTGGTCTAGAGTGAGATGCCACGGGTCCTGGGCATGTTAGCCTGTGCTTAGAATGACGCAGTGCTGCTTGGGTTTGGTCATCCAGCTGCTGCTTATTCCTGATGCCCCTACAGACAGCTTGTGAACATTCGTTTCCTGGAGTTACAAGGGACCCCGTCAATGCCCTCAGCCCCCCTTTTTTTTCTTTCACAAATGAGCATTTTGCCTCCATGTATATACATGTGCCGTGTGCATACCTGATGACCGTGGAGGGTGGAAGAGATGCCCTGGAACCGGAGCAGAGGGTTGTGAGTTGGCATGTGGCTCCTGAGAACTGAACTCAAGTCTTCTCTCTGCAAGATCAGCAAGCGCTCTTCACCACTGAGACACCTCTGCAGTTATCACCCCAATTTTGTTTTATCCCTTTTTGTGTGGGGGTGGGGATAGCTTATGACAATGCCAACACAGAGGACAACTTGTGAGAGCCGAGTCTCCCCTTCCGCTATGTGCTTTAGGTGCTAGGGACCTAAATCAGGTCCTCATACCTGTCTTGGTAGTAAGCGCCTTTACCTGCCTAGTGCCTGTGGGGCTTTTGTCTGAGCCCCTGAAGTATGTACTGAAGGCTTGTAATGATGACTGGAGTCAGTGTCCGACCACCATAGCCGGTCTGCAGATGACAGGATTTGATTCGAAATTGGAGGCATTCTGCTTTCAGAGCAATCACATAATGAAAATCATCAAATTTTAGCATTTTGGCCGTGATAGCATGGTAGGCTTTGGGGTGGAAACAACAAATGTCACGGATCTCTTCAGTCAATGATTGAACAGGCACGTGGGAAGACAGAAGGCACGGGTCTTGAGCAGTACGCACTGAAACCGCTTACGGTCATGGCCTGCAGAAGGAGAAGCGATTGAGTTGGAAACATTTCACAGAAGGACAGTTTCATTTATCTTATTCCAGATTTGAAATTATTATTATTTTGGGAACAAAATAGAGAACCAAAAGCTGGCAAATATTAACCTCTCTTGCTTTCTTTCTCTTCTATTTTCATTTAAATTTTTCTCCATTCTTTCTTTTTAATTTTTAAAAATTATTTATTTATTTATTTATTTATTTATTTATTTATTTATTTATATAGTGTTCTGACTGCATGTATCCCTGCAGGCCAGAAGAGGACACCAGATCTCATCACAGATAGCTGTGAGCCTCCATGGGGTTGCTGGGAACTGAACTCAGGCCCTCTGGAAGAGCAGCCTGTGCTCTTAACCTCTGAGCCATCTCTCCAGCCCCTAAAATTTTTCTTTATTCCTAAGAATTTTATACACACATATGTACAATAAAATATGATTATATATATCCTTATTTCCCTTTCAATTTCCCTCAATATGTCCCATCTCTAACCTTTTAAAAAATAACCCATTAAGTCTAGTTAATGGCACCCATATGTGCATGGGTATGGACCAGCCACTGAAGCATGAGAATCCTATCAGTAGCCACACCCTCAGAAAACAATGATGCTCTTTCCCAGAAGCCTTTGAATGTCACTAGCTTTCCAGTAAGGCATGGGCCTGGAAAGGTCATCTCCCACATCTGTGCTGGAACTTTGGCTTCATTGATCTTGGGCAAGATACAAACAGCTGCCATGAATCCATGAGCGTGACAGCTGTGTCAAGTCCAAAGGGCAGATTTTCACAATACTTCATCCCACACTTGGACTCTTAGACCTTTTCTGCAACATTTTCTGGGGAGAAGGGCTTGATAGGAGTGCCCCATTTAGGGTGGAACACTCCATATCCTATGTTTTCTTGTTTCAACCCTCTTATTACTTATATTTGGATGTTAGTCATAGGGAACACCCCAGAAATTACTCTTCCTGAAAGACATTTCTCTTTTCAATTTCCGTAACTTGGGATGCCTTATAGTGGAGTTGGTTGGTAGGTAATGTGTCACAAGTGGAGTTTGTGTTTTATATTGTTTTTGTGTGTGTTGCTTTGTCATATTTTACATGCTTATTGGAGTGGGTTGGTTTTCACCTCCGCTTCTCCCAAGACTATTGGTACATTCTGTTTTCTGTTACTCTTATTAGAGGGATATCACATGTAGTTCAGCTAGAAGGCTGGTGAAACACAGTGGTGATTATCAAATGGATTACCGAAGTCATCCCATTTTGGCTGTGTGCCAACAGGACCAAGGGTGAGGCTAGACACTCAGCACCAAGGTGACTGGATGTAGTCAAAACGTCAGTCACCCCTTGAGTTCTAAGAATTTGCTGGGGTCAGAATACCTTCTTCAGAGCCTCTAAAGTCTGTCTACCAACTGGGGGCTGTGGCTAGAGCCGTGGGCCCAGAGAATACTCTGGGAACTCAGCTGTATAGAGTCCAGATGCTGCAGCAACAACTGGAACTTTCGGGATGGGAAGACAACTCGCACAATGACCGGAGAGACCAAGGCTCTATTCTTTTTTAAAATGTACTATTTTTTATTTATTATTTGGAAATTTCACAAAATTCACCCTGATCACATTCATTTTCCGGTCCTCCCAGCTCCACCCCAACCCTTGTTACCTCCCTCAACACCAAAGAAGAAGAAAAAGAAGAAGAAGGAGAAGAAGATCAATTCCAATTTATGTTGCCAGTGTACTCACGGGAGCATGATCAAACCCCTAGTGGCCATCCTCTTAAAGAAAACTGAGTCCTTCTTCTCCCCAACCCCCACCAGAAGCCATCAACTGTGAAGAGTTACACTTCAGCATCCCTACCACAATTTTTTTTGTTGTTTTTTTTTTCGAGACAGGGTTTCTCTGTGGCTTTGGAGCCTATCCTGGAACTAGCTTTTGGAGAGCAGGCTGACCTCGAACTCACAGATATCCCCCTGCCTCTGCCTCTCAAGTGCTGGGATTAAAGGCGTGCGCCACCAATGCCCGGCCCCTATCACAATTTTTAAGAGTTCTTTTCAATGGCTTCTTGTCTAGACTGTTTTTGGGAGGGTGAGTAGGGGAGAGAGGTTATCACAGAAGCCTTTGTGTCTCTCAATTTCAACTATGAGTCTGCGGCCATCAATACCACTACAAAGAAAAAAGCTTCCTTGCCCTTTACAGTCAGCAGCAGCATGAATAATGGACTTCCACATGGTTTCTGGCTACAGACAGGCCATGAACGTCGACATAGATTCTGGGGACAGCATAAACCTTGGACATCCCCATGGCTTTAGTGGTAACAGGGGTGACAAACATCAACATGGTCCCCAGCTACTGCAGGACACCATGGACACCCACATGATCCCTGGTGGCAGCATGGGCCATAGATATCAATATGGTTTCAGGTGGCAGCATAGCCCATGGAAATCAACCTGACTTTAGGCAGCAGTATAGACCACAAACATCCGCATAGCCTTTGGTGGTAACATGAGCCATGGGCATCAACATGTTTCCTGGTGTAAGCAGGACAAAGGTCACCAACATGGCCCTCATCAGCAGCATGGACCATGGACACTAACATGGCCTCAGGTGGCAGCATAGGCCACACACAAATCAACATGGCTTCCAGCAGCAACACGGACTATGGACATCAACAGCCCTCAGCCACAGCACAGGCCACCAACACCATCATGGCCATTGGTGGCAGCACACCTATGGGCATCTGTATGGTCCCTGGAACCAAAGCTTCTTTCTTTTATGGGACCCTGGGTATTGGAGCCAAAGATAAGTTCTGTACTGACCTCTGAGACCACTGGACTAGAGTCCCAGTCACAAGGGTACTTTCTTATCCTGTATAAACAATGATCTTCAAACTATAATGTTCACAACAATTGAACTTGGTGAGATACTTCTGTTCCTTTCATTTTAAGTGTTAAGTTTAGTAAATAATTATTTGTTCCCATTTGTGTCTTTCAGATTATTATTCACCAACCGCAGGTGAGTTTGTTTCAAAAACGTTTTTTATTAGAAGTTGTAAAAAAAAGTGACAAATAGTGTCACTGGATATTCCATATTTTTAAAAGATGAAACACTACTTTGTGTACATATACAAAGCAAAGTCAGTTCCTTTAAAAATGGTTAAGGATGTTGTATGGCTTGGGCATGCTTGGACCCTGTGGATGCTGTCACAGTTGCTGTGAATTCAAATGTTCAACTGTCCTGCTATGCCTTCATCCACTGTACCTGGCTCTGACAATATTTCTATTCTCTCATTCACAGTGTCCCTGAGCCTGGGGAGGAGGGAGTGTGGGATAGATCTCCCATTTAAAGTTGAACATTTCACAGTGTCTTGTCCTCTGCCTGTCGACCAGTGTGGGAGTCTGTTAAATTTGCCATCTACTCCAAAAGAGAAGCTTCTCTGATGAAGGAAGATTTCTGCACTAATTTATGGGTATAATGATAAGTTATTAGGAGTGGTGGGTAGGAAGCAATAGGAGCTATTGCTATTTGATAGCTTCTGGGAGCAGAAGAGTTAGTTCTCTTTAAGGGTGTGGACTCAGGTAGGTGGGTCACACTCTAATAGATGGCCACACACCCAATAGTGTATAGGGAAAAACTTGAGTAGGTATGGAATGGGGTGTGGATACAGAAGGAGCTTCTACAGGGAGTGAACATGATCAAAATATAATGCATGCAATTAATAAAAATATTAAAAAACAAAAAAGAATAATAACTTTTTTATCCTTATTGTTAATTTTTTTCTCTCTCTTTTTATTATTATTAATTCAAGTTAGGGAACAGGCTTGTTTCACATGTAATTCCCCTCTCCCTCTCCCTCCCCTTACCCCCATTC